CTAGATATTTTCAACTTGTACTTCTAATAATAATAACAATGAACTTTAGATTATATAGATACATGCGTATGGGTGTACGTATATGTTTTTTTGGAAGGAAAATACTATCTTTATTAATGGAAGAATAACAAGTAAATCCCCACGGATGAATACTTAGAGGATCCATTGCCAAGACAACGGTGCCTCAAGAGTCTATAATCATGCTAAGTACCAAATGTGACAATGAATAAAAAAACACTTTAACCCCAAAATATGAAGATCTTGCTATGTTATTAAAACCCTTTAATGGCTGGTAAGACATAATTAAGGAGACAATTCAAAAAAAAAAAAAGTAAGACAAAATTACTAAATCGCTTATTCTAAAGGAGAAAAATTTATATATCTACTGAAAAAATATATTCACGATAAAAGTAAATATATAGAAGAGAGTAGTTTATGAACGATCAAATTTTCAGTTGCATAAAATGTTACTCGGCTAAAAATCAAATCATACTCCCTGAGTTCTATAAACAAACCGTCAAGCTCACTGAAAGTAAAGTCGTAATCCATCTATATGCGAGGAGATATTTAAAAAATGTTAGTTACATAGGCAATGTTCTCCAAAAGTTTATAGTTGATCTAAGAATGGGCGAACTTGAATATTGATTTTTTTGTAAGATATTCAGAGAGTAACGTATGCATTGGAAGAGAATGATTTAGTTCAGGTTTTCTAAATGATCTCGGCCAAAAGAGCAAGATTAGCTTTTACAGTCTCTTTATATTGAAGCGATAATAATTCTTGATAGTACAAACACTATTATAATTTATCAAATAAGTTTTGTGAGCATTCAATCTATCATTTAATTGGAAGTTGTAACTGTGTATGTCAAATATGCTAAAATATAAATTTAATATATGTGTTATTTATTTTTGTTTGATTTAGTCATTAACTTAATTTAGTTCTTATGTTTTCAGATAAAGTTTGAACTAGTCCATCCCTATTATTAATATTTAATATTGTTACCAAATGTCATGTGTAAAATATCTTAATACATGACATCTTTTGATAGACTACTAATTTATGGTAGATGTCATGTGATATTTGATGCAACAATTAGATAATTAATTTGAATTAATTTTAACTAGACCCAATTATTTTTTTTTAAAAAAAAAATCTAAAGTTTCATTAAATCCCTAAAACACATCCTGAAACCTTCTTCTTTTACTTCTTTTTTCTCGGTGGTTTCCTCCCATTAGATGAGTTTATAGGAAATCAAAGCTTTCTTGCATGAGCAACATGGAAAGAAACCTTGACGTGCTTATTCGATTTGGCATTCCCGATTTGTTTAATGGTGATCACTCTATCAAGCAACCACTGCCATGTAAAAGATCTAATCGAGCAAAATTATTGATTTCATGTTATAAAATACATGATGTCAGCCACTTCTAATGCGACTATTCTCGAGGTTCTAGTTGGTGTATTGTCTCTCCAAGTAAGCTTTAAGGAAGCAACTGAGATGTTTGTTGAGATAAAACACAAAATGTTATGCCAAAGACAAGCCTCAGGGGCAAGAATTGGACTCATATTTTGTTTAAGGAAAACTAGGGTTTTTTGTTTCTTTTGTTTTAGTTTTAACTGTTTCAAAGTAGTCTAAATTGATAATATTACTACTATGTTACATGTCGAGTGACATATGATGTAGATAAATAATCTGTCAAAAGACGCTACGTTATTGAGAAATTCTCCTCATATTATTTGTAGTTAATGGTATTAGATGTGCATAACATGAGGGAATAATTCGAATATTGTTTGAAAGTATAGAGAGTGAATTAGCCCAAAATTGAGGTCGAAAAGAAATTGAACAGGAATAAATAGTATAAAGTATGTGTATACAATACACGAAAAGGGAAAAATAACGTACTTACGAGATGATGTTAACACAATGCACACTGAGGTGATTATACTATTGAGGAAACTTAAAAGATAATTAAAAATTTCGAAAGAAATTTAACCGAATTGTATCACAAATCTTTCTACACGTAACCATCTACACTTCATTCTTGAGATTGAGCTAAGCTAGACTCGAACCTGCCAACTAAAGATGATACTAATTAACCATTAGCATAGTCTACCATACTTTGATTTTGTCTTTAATATTTTTGTAATCGTTTAATATATTAATAAGATAATGTTATGCAATTATATCATAAAGGATTATGAAATTATTGCACAAATATCTTTGAAACATGACAGATTTTTCATACAACTATGGGTGTCACATGGATAGCCTATAATTTATTTATTTGTTTTTTTTTTATATCAACATGAAATGATTTCTCACCCCTCCTGCTTCCCCTCTTCCTTTTCTCTTTGTTCTTCATGTTTATTGACAATAATGGATATTTATACAATGAATGATTACAATGTTGACGATAGTAGGAGAGATCAATTGACTTTCTCGAAGAGAACTTTGGCAATGTGATAATTGATAGTCCCAAGATCACAATAAGCTGAGTAGTAAAATGACTTTGCCACTGATAAGAATGTTTGCTTCACATCTGAATCTATGTCATCTGATGAGTTCTGAAGTACTAATTGCACAAGCTGTTGCATCTCATGCTCTATTACTGTTCTTTCGACAATGTCTGTATTGTTATCATAGCTGCAGTAGTAGTCCTGGACCTGTAAGAAAAGGAATGGCGCAAGTTTTAAATGAGAATATACGAGAACTTAACCCGACTCAAATCTACAACTTACTACAAGAAGGGATATATACTAAAGATTCAAGTAAGCAACTGTTAGCAAAACTACATGAAATTATATGGAGCAGTACATATATATACTTGGGATTACATTCTTATGCATAGTAGTCCATATATATTCCCATGCATGTATGTAAGCAGCTGGTGCTACCGTAATTAAATGTATGTAAAAAACGTAACCCAGTGAAATCTAGATAGATGTAATTGTTTTTTACTTGTTAAAAAATATCTGGGATGCAAAAATGGTTTATGATTATGATATATGTCCAAGTGAAACCAGGCCAAGCAATTCATGGAGATAAGCTAACAAACACAAATGAAAAATTTTTTTAAATAAAATGCAAGAGGATGAAGCTAAAATGGGTACAGCCAAAGAGTGGAAGAAAACAATGACTAGTATATGCATATATATTTGACAAATTACAATATCATAAACATGTGGTCGAGAGAATATGTAAATAGATATATATGTATGAGAAATGAATAGTATTAAAATGGCAATGACCTTTTGGCTTCTGTAGCGACCAAGCTTATGGCAGAGCTGGTTAGTGATGGTGGAGAGCTGTTTATATTGAGGATGAGACAGTAACTCCTCCGACACGTAATGGCCAGCGCTTAGATTTATAATCTGAACCAACAACTCTGCTTCTTCCTTGTGTCCATCTCCTTCTTCTTGCCATCTCACCAGCCAATTTTCCCACTGTGTTTGGATTCATTAACAAAAACAAACACTCCTAATCAACACATTGGAATTAGCTCTTTCGTCGTATATTTCCCACATGAACCCTATCTCTCTCTCTCTCTCTCTCTCTCTCTCTCTCTCTCTATATATATATATATTTGTTATAATTGTAAAAAAGACCCGGTTCTTTCATGCATGCATGCATCTTTCAATATCTAATTACTGAACCTTTTAAGTTTCGTCTCCCGCCGCTTCTGTTTTTGTATCTGTACTGATTCTCGCAGATATTTGTGGATAAGTATAAATACTTGGTTCAATGAGTCTTCATCTTTTTCAACAATTTCAGCACTACAAGTTTCTAAAATGCTAAATTTATATTTGTATGTATACCCCACCAGTCTCATGTGCTTACATGCAAGATATATACATATAGTCGGCCTACGTAAATACACAGACAGTCCTACAGTACTATATACGTAACTACAGGGTATAGTCGGATGGGGCGGACGGTAATAAATTAATTAATATCCCCAGAAGTTTGGAAAAAAAATAATAATAATAATCGGGTGAAGGGAAAGTGATAAACTCACAGCTTGGTGAAGGTAGTAGGTAACGTCACGGCCATGCCCTACAAGAGCGTCCAATGAGATGTGGTTGAGTGTCCCAATCACCGTCGCTATCAGTCTCTGCACGCCTCTGTTCGAGTCTGATGATCTCCTGTAATCCATTACCCATGCAAACGGCGTCGTTTTTCGGAATCAATATTATAAACTATCAACTTACATATACACATAAATAAAATAAGTTGAATAGCGAACGTACATAACATATGTATACATACATACAGCAGTACTGCACCAACCCAAATGACTAATACGTATAATTTGAAGATTTTTCTCTTTAAATTCTTAATTTCATGACTAACTTAATTCGATCAAATAAGAAAAAATAGTCGGTCTCCGATTAAACAAAGTCGATTTCGATATTAAATTAACGGGTTATTAAAATATACGTCAATCATAATATAATCATATAACACGAAATTAGTGAAATTCGAGAGACATACCTTCCAAAATTTAGGTAAGGTGATGGGTTCACGGAAACCAATTTGAATTCATTGAGAAAGTTTCTCCTCGCGGACTCGGTAGAATCCAAGTCGTGGAAGTAAGCGGTGATTGCGTCGGTCAAAACCAGTGTCTTCGCCCATGCAAGCCGCTCTCTTGACCTTTCTGGCTCGTAGGTACTGGCTGCTGCCACGAAGTAAGCCAGTAGAAGGCTTCGTCTGCTCGAACCGTACTCCTCGAGTTTGCATTCCGCGAACCACCTGTCACACCATTAGTACTCGATAATTAAATCATAATCAATAATTAAGTAAACTAAATCCCCATTTACCGTCTGTAATTAGTTTAAGACGAAATTTAATTGAATCATCCGAAGATTATTGTAATCCTTATTTGGATCGGAACTTACTTTTGGATCCCTCGCCATTCCATCTGGTGAATAGCTTGGCAATTGTTGTAGTCTAACTTTGCAAGTTCAAGGTATGCATTGTTGTTCACGTAAGGCATCCTGTTATACACACACACGTATATATATATATATATATATATATGTATATCATAACATACAATTAGATAATTACCATAAGAAAAAAACTTTGTAGATTACTATTAATTAGTTAAGTAAGCATGTGATTAGTGCATATTTAATGTAATAATAAATTATATTTATCTCTTGGAGAAAGCATTTTTTTTTTTATTTTTTTGGGTTTTCGTTTTAAATTATTGATCATGACTAAGCTGACAAGTGACAAGTTCATTTTACTGAAATGGCAGTGGGATGCAAACAACTAAACTGACAACAGATGTATCTAAATGTGTGCTACTGGGTCCACTCTGGTACCCTATGTGTGTGTATATATATATATACACCCTAAAACCAAATTGGGTTTTTCATTATAATGAAATGTATATATAATGAAATGTTCATGATTAGGAAATGTAACCCAACTTTGATTTGTGCTGGTTCTAATGAACCAAAAAAAAAAAAAAAACGAATGATTGATGAGATTAGCAAGCTTTAATTCCTATTTTAAGGTTGACTGCCTTTAATTTCAATCTTTAATTCCTTAAAACTGTTTACTAATATAAGTATATGTATATTATATATGTGTGTATGTATATATGTATATACCTGTAGAGAGTCTTGCCAATCCAGACGTCGTCTTCACCACCGTATTGTTCAATGTAAAACCTCGTCTCCACTCTCGCCAAGCTTGCATACCATGGAATCTCCAAAGCGAACCCCACCTGCGCCATTAATGTTTTATGATCATTAATTACGCCTAATCTTAATTATAATTTTTTAATCTGTTTCTTCTGCTACTCGGGTCTTAATAATATGACAAAACCTCTTAATTACAATTAAATTGCTAATTAATTTATAACTCCTAATTAACAATAATAGTGCATCTTATATTTTTAGTTTAATTGAGGTAACCGATGATGTCAGTCTGCTGTCACCTAATATTTTTTTTAATTAATGTGTGTGTGTGTGTGTGTGTGTGTGTGTGTATATATATGTATATGTATGTATGTATGTATATCATGGAGAGATGAAGAGAATAACTTAACTTATCAGTTTTACCACTGTGATTGGTTGGTGGGCAACGATCATAATGATAAATTTGATAAGTTTCTTCGTGGAAAGTAAAAAATTAATTAATTAAAATAGAAAAATTAGTGAAAAATGCGATACCTCGCCTGGTAAATCCTTGGTTATGATCCATTTATCCAATAGTTCATTAGCTTCTTGTTTGTTTCTCAAGAAACTGAAAGAAAATTGCTTGGCATCCTCGAGAATTTTTTCTCCGGGGAACGACACCTGAGAAGCTCTGTACAGGTTAAACATTCCGGTCACCGCCTGGTTCGACTGCCCGGCGAAGCAGAAGAACTCTTCCCCCTTCTTGAAATTCTCAAATACATCTGCCACGAATAAAACGATGTCATATTTAACATTTTATAAGCTACCTTCAACTTCAACTTAATATAGTTTCTATTCTGCTGTAAATTTAAGGTAATCAGTTTATTTACCAGCAGAGACGTCGTAGCCATGTAATCTCATTAATCTGAATCCCATGGCCGTGTCATCTATATCATGAACAGGAGTGTTCCTTGCCCAGCAGATCCCATTTTCATCCCAGTATCTGAAACATATATATATATATACATACATACATACATATATAAATACGATTGTATTGTGTTATATGTACATATATTTATAAATAAGTTATGTATAATCACCTATGGACGTAATCAATACATTCTTTGATCTGGGGCTTGAAGTATCTTGAAATTCCGAGGCGCTGCAAACGATCGACAGCCCAGATGTGTTCGAACATGTCAACCGGGTAGACGTTGGGAACTAGAAATCAATAAAGGAGACAAAAAAAGAATAAGAAGAAGAAGATGATGATGATGATGAAACGACAGCGAATTATTATCTGAAAAAGTTGACACCATGCAGGATATATATAATTAAATAATGATAATAATAATTGTACTACTATATATATAGTACCTCCTCCATTGAATCTCTGGACTGCCTTCTGTAAATAAGTCAAGCATTTCTGATCTTTAGTTTGCATGAGTGCGAAGGCAGTGGAGGATGGGGAGAACAAGAAAGAACCATCTGAGGACTGTAATTTCAGAAGCTTTTCCCAGTCTAGGTCTGTCATTCCTTCCAAACTATGGAGTAGTGTTGTGGGCACATTATGCATTATATCCCTCGGTATCCTATATCACCCACATCATTATTACATGCCCTCCACATTCATCCATATATACATATATATACACACACATATAATCACTACCCTTTTTATCTTTAATGATATTTTAACTACTCTACCTTGTCAGCTTCAGATTCCTCATGGCGTATATCTTTTGCAGAACGGGAGAATCTTCTTCTATCTCTACGTTTAAACTTCGAGCAATTTCAAGAAGAGAAGGAAAGGCCACCTCGAATCCAATCGGCATATGTTCGTCATTCTCATCTTCAATCTTGTACAGGTTCTCTCTAAAAAACTTCATCCCTACATGTAATTTTTGGTTAATATATATAATAAACAATGATGTACTGGGGTAAAAAACTAAAGATGAAGGTTTGACTAAATAAATAAATAAAGAGCAAACCTTTTTCACATTTGTCGGGATGAAGATTCCATGATTTTAAAGCGAGGACACATGCGAGTGTATTGATGAGTCGATCGTGGGCGGAGAAGATATGGGTATCGCCCCATGATCCGTCTGAGAGCTGGTTGTTTGCGATCCAGACAAGGCTGGATGGGAACTGTGGCTCGCCGCTGCCATTAACGTCCGGCACTAAACCAACCCAAGCTGTATCGTACGCCGACACACTGATCTCTCCATCCTCCATTGACTCCAACATGGATTTAATAATAGCCACCCGTTCTTTAATCCCATTTGATGCCGAGATCTGTCAAAATATATTTTTTTTTTTCGAAAAACCAAATTAAATCACATCATTGAAGAAAAAGTAAATGGGTTTTGTTTGAAACTCACCTTCAGAGCTTCAGCTTCGATGTCGTCATCATCAACGATTGATTCAGGCCACTTGACCACTGGCGGACCATTTTGAAACACCTGAGTGTAATCTACACGTCGGATTACCGATGTAAGTATACACATGTTTGTATCTATGTATGATCGTGCATGTACTATTCCATGTCTGTATGTATATGCATGTATATAAAAAATTGTATAATAATAATTCACTGTTTTCACAGCAGAGATTAAGCCAGCTTTTACAAACCTTGAATGCGAGGTTTAGATAGAGCACTGCATCTGTGTGGGTGAATATCGAAGTGAAGTCCTTTGTCTTTACTCAGAAACGGCCGAACACCTACGTTTACATTTGAGAAAATTTTAGTTAATCTAAACAACTACGAAAATTTACAGTGAAGGATTTTAATATTAAAAATGAGAAGACGAGAATAGGCTTGCAGAGAGTTATAAATACGATGGTGCCATTAATCAGTTAGGAGAACCAGTTGTGGTAAGTTGATTTGAAAAGACGGTGAAAGGTTTCTTAGCTCTATTCCTTAGAATAACAGCGATGTTTAAAAGTTGGAAGAAACAGAGTACATTGAAAGAAAGAGAGAGTCGTGTACTCTGTCATGGAAATCAAAAAGAAAATGGAGACAAACCCAATACTAATTACCCACTTGAAAAAAAAAAGAAAAAGAAAAAAAAAAAAACCCAAGAAATTAATACTCATGAGTTATATATATCAAGCCTTGTACTTTATCTGATTCTGAAAATATACGAACAGACAACCCAGAAAGAAGAAAAAGACAAACAGAGAAATCTGAGGGAAGCGACTGATCAGAACCCAAAACCAGAATCGAAACGAAAACCGGAAATTCAAATTCGATCTGTTTCGGATTGGTACTCGAGAGGGAGAGGGGATATTTAGATGTGAATAAGTTAGCGAGAAAAAGAAAAAAAAAAAGAAAAACAGAGAAGGTGGGGAAGA